ATTTCAGACATATACATCCTGATTACCCAACCAAAACATGAGTTTGTTCAAGGCAAGAACTCTGTCCTGTGCTTCTCTTGCATCTCTCTCACACCCATACCCAATGCTGAAGTCATTCAGAAATACTCCAAATCCTGTTCCTAATAGTTCCGTCTCATGCTCTGCTGGGGCAAATGCTCTGGAGATGGGCTTGCATCCCATGGGCTTTTCTATCTTTTCATGTCATTTGGCGGAAAGTTGGCCAAGTAAACATCTAAAGGACTGGGAGGAGCAAGGTGTTTGTGTTTATTGGAATTCTAGGTAAATTTGGAAAGCAAAGGGAGTAAACCTCATGGAGATCAGAAACTTGGGCCTCCTGAAGGATGCTCCTGGCAATGTGACCGGTACTTGAAGTCTCAGAGCAAAACATTGGTGGAGAGGGGATGGAGCCAGCAACTTGTACAGGTGGGCACATGGCCACACTCTTCAGGCCTGATTATTTGTAATAACTCAATCTATGATAAAGGAAGCAATGAAAAGCAATAGGAAAGCATAAGATTATTGAAGAAATTATGTTGAGATTATTATTTACCTTTATGGAGAGTAGCACAGTTTTAGGATATCACATTATATCACACTAAAATTAAAATAAATTCAAGTGACTATATTATTATTCAATATTAAAAATGGAATTAAATATTAAACACTTTGTGAATAAGAAGTACATATGCATTATTATAAAAAGAAAGCAAAATATCAAGTAAATTCAATTCACACAATTTTAAATGTTTACATCAAAATTCTAATAAATATAATTAAAACACAAAAATAGGAAAACTATTTGCAACAAATGTTATTAGCAAAAGTTTGATTATAGGCAAGAAATTAAAGTAATATAATAGTGAGATATCACTTCTCATGTGTCAGATTAGCAAAAATATATTTAGTACTAGAGGCCCAGTGCACGAAATTCATGCACTGGTAGGGTCCCTAGCACCTGCCAGCCGGGTACTCCCTTCCTTCCCCCGGCCAGCCCCGACCCCTGGTTGAACTCCCAGACGACCTCCCGGTGGAGGGGACAATTTGCATACTACACTTTTATTATATAGGATAGCCAATGCTGATAGTGAAACAACCAATCTTATATCAATATGGAACAATGGAATATATCTTAAGAAAATAATTCTATATATAAAAATGCTTTATCCACAATTATGTTTATTATAGTAATAATAATAAACATTGGAATCAAAATACATATAGAACAATAGCAAATTACTGATGTAAACTGTAGCTGACATGGTATACACCTATGATTTTTATTAAGAATCTATATCTATCATAATAAAAGGGTAATATGCTAATTAGACCAGACATCTTCTGGACGTCATTCCGGACATCCTTCCTGACAAAGCTGGGGCTGGAGGGAAGCCAGCCCGGGTCCTGGGTGCCTTCAGGCGGTCCAAGTGAAGCCAGCCTAGGTCCTGGGTGCCTGCAGGTGGCCCGAAGGAAGTCAGCCCAGGTCCCTGGTGCTGAGGGAAGCCAGTGTCAGCAGCTGGGGGAAGGAAGGCCTACTCTTGCACGAATTTTCATGCATCGGGCCTCTAGTATATATATAAAAGCCTAAATAACTGAATGACTAAATGACCGAACGACTGGTCGACTGGTTGCTATGATGCTCACTGACCACCAGGGGACAGATGCTCAATGCACGGAGATCGGGCTCCCTCCTGTCTGGATTGGGCCTGCAGGAATCAGGCCAATCAAAACCAGCTATCTGACATCCCCCAAGGGGCCCCTGATTGCGAGAGGGAGCAGGCCAGGCCGAGGGATCCCACCGGTGCATGAATCTGTGCACCAGGCCTCTAGTATCCTATATAATAAAAGGGTAATATGCAAATCGACTGAACGTGGAACAACCAGTCACTATGATGCACACTGACCATCAGGGGGCAGACAATCAATGCAGGAGCTCCCCCCTGGTGGTCAGTGTGCTCCCACAGGGGGAGCACTGCTCAGCCACAAGCCAGGCTCATGGCTGGTGAGCGCAGTGGCCCGCCTTCATGGCAGCGCTAAGGATGTCCAACTGTGGGGAACAGGCCTAAGCCATCAGTCAGACATCCCTCGAGGGCTCCTGGACTGTGAAAGGGCACAGGCTGGGCTGAGGGACCCCTCCCCCCTGAGTGCACAAATGTCATGCACCGGGCCTGTAGGGTAATAATATAAATGAAGATATGGAGGAAAGGGAACTCTCGTATACTGTTGCTAGGAATGCATATTGTGGAAAATAATCTGGAGGATCCTCAAAAAATTAAAAATGGAACTGACTTATGACCCAGAGATTCCACTTCTTGGTATATATCTGAAGAAACCTAAAACACTAATTTATAAGAATATATGCAACTTTATATTAATTGTAGCATTATTTATAATAGCCAAGATAAGGAAGCAACCCAAGTACCCATGAATAGATGAATGCATTAAAAAAAGCTGTGGTACATATATACAATGGAATATTACTCAGCCATAAAAAAATGAAATACCATTTGTGACAGCATAGATGGACCTAGAGTAGCCGTGGGCAAACTACGGCCCATGGGCTGGATCCGGCCCGTTTGAAATGAATAAAACTAAAAAACTAAAAAGACCGTACCCTTTTATGTAATGATGTTTACTTTGAATTTATATTATTTCACACAAACACTCCATCCATGCTTTTGTTCCAGCCCTCCGGTCCAGTTTAAGAACCCATTGTGGCCCTCGAGTCAAAAAGTTTGCCCACCCCTGAGAGGGTATTATGCTAAGTAAAATAAGTCAATCAGGAAAGGACAAATGCCATTATCATTTCACTTATATATGGAATCTAAAGAACAAAATAAACAAACGAAATTGAAACAGAGTTATAGATACAGAGAACAGACTGATAGTTGCTTCCCAAAGGGAATAGGGGTTGGGAGACTGGATGAAAAGGGGAAAGGATTAAGAAGTACAAATTGGTAATTACGAAATAGTCATGGGGAAGTAAAGTACAACATAAGGAATATATTCAGTAATATTTTAACAACTATATGGTGCAAGGTATGTACTGGAAATATTGGGGGAACACTTTGTAAAGTATATAATTGTCTAACCACTATGCTGTGCAACTACTAGTAAAACTAATGCAAAATAACATTGAATGTACTAGTAAACTGTAATTGAAAAATAAAAAATATAAAGAATATAAAATGATTTATATCATGACTTAAAAAGCAAGATAGCCCTTGCCTGCAGACTGAAGGGTCCTGGGTTCGATTCCAGTCAAGGGCTCAATCCCTGGCCCCAGTCAGGTGCATGCAGGAGGCAACCAATTGATGTATCTCTCATACATCGATGTTTCTCACTCTCTGTCTCTCCCCCTCACTTCCACTCTCTCTAAAAATCAATGGAAAAAATATCCTTGGGTGAGGATTAACAAACAAACAAACAAACAGAAAAGGCAGGACAACAGTTCTACTGAGTATACTAGTAGTCACTAAAATGTAGGAAACAACATACTAGAAATAAAAACTTGCATGATAAAACTATGGGTAATCTTATCTACTTTCCTAATCTTTTAAAGAGTATATATTATTTTTAAAGTGAAAACACACAGCAATGAATGACATTTGCTTTTAGGTGGAAAATTTCCAAAAGGAGAAATTAGGAGAAAGATTTTTTAAAGCAAACTCTACACAGTAGCATGAAGGCAGAGCTGTGGGAAACGAAATCATTACATTTAGCTGTGCAGAGCACATGCTGGGAAACTGTGTTTTGATCTTGGTGTTTTAATTGATATTTTTCTATTCACATATTTTTAAGAAAGTGTTGATCATGTATTTTGTAGTGAAATCATAAGCAGAGCACATACAATTTCCTGTCAGTCCATTTTTGCTGGGTTGGTGTCTTCTGATATCTTTCAGAACATCTCAGCAGAAAAAGGAGCTACGTGAAAATTCAAGAAGCCTGTGGAAGTCGAATGCACCCTTCTTGGAGGAAACAGCTTTAAGATTGGAATGTAGTTCTCCATGACAACCTTATCGGTGTTTGGAGTCTGCTTATTTCCAGGTGCCATGTTCCAGGAAAGTGTTGCAACTAAACATATTACCATTTTACCTTCGCTAGGGGCCTTAGGCTAAGCAAGGATTTGGTCATGTTCACCATTACAATCTCTGCCTATGATATTGAATAAACCTTGCAATAAATGACACAGAAATACCGATAGAGAGATAAAGTGCTAAACCCTTTCGATCTGAGCTTTTTACAGATATTCAAATGGACCTCAACTCAACTCCCCCAAATTCTCCCAAGCCAGATTGCATCTACCCTCCTGAATGCTTTAAGGCTATTGTATCAAACTTTAGCATTTTCTACCGAAGTCGGATTACACTAGAGGAAACTCAGTTTTCCTCCCAATGTTGCACTCATCACATCTGCCTCACACAGACTTTCATTTCCCTGAAAGGATGGCCACCTGCCACATACATCACTTCCTACCCATGTTTGTGTGCAAACTAAGATAATACAACTCCAGGTTTTGAATACATGCTTACTTCCTGGTAGACTGTTTAAGAGTCTATATTTGCACTGTAGAATCTCTGAAAGAACTTGTAGATAACCGTGGGTGGAACCAGAGGATGAACAGGGAGCAATCATAGCAAGTTTAAGAAAACTTGCTAGCAAGTATCTGTTCTGTTTGCTTCTGATACTATTCTACTCACAGGTCACAATTCCTCCATTCCCACATCATTTGAAGTATTCTCCCCTAGAGTCATTCCATAATTGTCCATATCTCCGACACTAACATTTCTTAATACATACCATCTCCTTTAATACACAGGCATATACACGCCCATGAAAACATACCATATTGGTTTTTCAGCAGCTATATTACAAATTGACATTAGCTTTACTTTGCATCCTTCGGGTTTTAATCATCTGATTTGTAGTTATTAGTATTTTCTTCCAACTCAATATTCTCTAACTTGTTTTTTCCTTTGCAGATTTTCTTACTGGCAGCCCTATTCTTGGACCAAAGACAGGGACATGGAGAGGGGAGAGCAAGCTCATTTTTTCTATTCTCACCCCTGCAGCAACACAGCCCACCAACCCAAGGGCCATCACCCACCAGGCACCATTCATGTTTATTTCTGATACAGCTTTTGTTCTTTCCCAAGAGCCCTGTTAAAGTTGATGTTGCATTAGATGTTTGCATGTTGCTCCACTTCTAAGTATCCACCCATTTCCTCCACCTCATTGCTGAAAGCATCAGCCTTCATTTTCTCCCTGTGTTCTTTTCATCAGAACTAGGTCAACTCGTACCCAATAAGACACATGATTTGGACACATGAAACGAATTGTGTTGCCATCCACCTGACAATGTTCTTGTAAAGCAAGTAGACATAAACGTTATAAAGGCTTTAAGTATAACCATTTATTCAAACTCAGTGGGACATACTGGCAGTCACTTAACTCATTCAGCAAATATTCATCGAGCAGCTCCTATGTGCCAAGAACTATGAAAAGGGGTAAAATTTCAAGAGTGACAAGAAACTGTGTCTGCCCTCAAGAACTGTGACCTTTATAAACATTGTTTAGAAAATGCCAGCAGATTTTGGTAAGTCATTGAGTCGGTATTAAGGAAAAAAAATGATATTAAATATTTTATGAATTATGTAGTCTGGTTGCACCATGCTTAAAGATTGGTTCTAAAGTCAGAATTAAGGTGATATTGAATTACCCTTTAAGCATTAGAATCTCATCAAGAACTGTCACATGCTCATACTCTTAAAGGTATGATGCTGCTGAAACAGAGAAGAACAGATGAACAACTCCCTCTCATGCTCTCACCCAGAGCTACACCCACTCACAGGCAGTCAGAATCTCCTCAGCTACTCAAATTGTTATTTTCTGAACAAAATATTACAGCCTAAATTAAATTTGACTATATTTCAACTTCGCAATAAAAGTGAAGCTCCTGAATTTCTTGGATTGCCCCTTTCCTCTGATAGGGATGTGGTATCATGTATGTCATTAAGAAAGCATTTAGCAGAGGGAGGAGAGTTTAGAAAACCGGTCTTTTCAGGGGAAAAAAATCAAAGCATATGCTGTCACCCGTGAACAGTGAGTATAATAGCACATGCCCTCCAAAGCGTACATACACACACACAAAAAAAAAAATCCAAAACTTACATTTTTAGGACTGACTATTCTTGGGGGGGGGGAGAAAGGGGTGTGGGGGTGAGTGAAGAGATTAGACAACAATCGTGCACCTATGGATGAGGACAGTGGGTGGGGAGTGAGGGCAGAGGGTGGGGTTGGAACTGGGTGGAGGGGAGATATGGTGGGAAAAAAGAGTAACTAATGCAATAATTTAATAAAAAAAATAATTGATTTGTAAATTCTAAATTAAATAATTAAATATATGTAAAATATTAAAAGCATATATATAAATATGAAAAAAACTTACATTTTTAAAGATACTTATTAATTATAGAGATGCACATGGGTAGAAAAGACAGAATTGCATGGGTTTTGACAATTAAGGGATGTCAAATCTTTTCATACAAAATATATTCAAGTATTTGCTCAACAAAATAGTTAATAAAATCGAGCACCTGTAGGAGCAGTCTCTTCTACTTATAAAAGCCAAACCTGTTTTATTATTGGTTTCCATAATTTATCCTCAATTAAAATAGAAGCATGATGTTTAGTGTCTCTGTGTGTGAATTTCTTATAATCAAGTATTATTGGGCAGTGTATTTTGACACTTGCAAATGTGATGGGGTTTTTTCAGTTCTAAAGGAGACAAAAATGGGAATTTTTTCTTAAGTTACACAAACAAAATGTATAGAAAGAGAAGGAAACCAAAGCAAAAGGAATGGAAGGGAAAGAGGAGGGGAGGGAAATGAAGACAGTGATGAAGAAAAGGACCCGGGGATGCAATGCAGAACAAGACAGGCAGGCTGGGCTGGGAAGAGCAGCCTCTCTAGAATTCGCTAACTCATTAGCAGGTGTCTGTTACGTTGGGTGTTAGAATGCCAGTGCAATAGATGCTTTCACTGACTGCCTTTCAAGGAATAAAGAGGTACATTTTGTTTGAAAGTAATCACCTCCCATGTGTAATAATTAAACAACAGAACACTAAGAATTTCTAATTTTGTTTTCTCAAGGTTTTGGCTGCTTCCAGGATATAGCTTGTTCCCAAGCAACTAATAAAATTACTTGCACATCAATTTTGATCAAAGCTATATTATATTTTGGATTTTGATGCATTTGCAAAAATTGCAGTTGAGGGAACATTAATTAGTTTTATGCCTTTTTTAGTATGTATTATTGTGAATAATAAAGACATGTTTGCAAAGCCAAAGCAAAGCAGGAAACTGTGGTAATTATCAAATCAAGCAACATCACATATTAGCAATTACCTATTGTACATTGGCAATTTTCAACTAACCTGGACTAACACCTCACTGAAGGCCAGGAAGGAGAAACCTCCTTATCACAGTCACCCCTGAAGGACATGATCTGCTTGTAAGATAAGAGACTTAACTGTCTATATATTAATATTTAATATGAATTCTTATAACAAATTCTCTTGGCCTGACCATTTATACAAAGTCTTCTTAGAACAACTTTACCACTTGTGACATACTTTAACAGTTTTTACAATTTTCAGAATTACTTCTTTGTCCAGTTGAGTGACATACACTTAAACAGGTACAGTGAAAAATGGGAGAAAATATAAACAAATTATAGGCCTGAAAATATGAAGGATATCATACATGCACACAAAACTATGATGTATGCTACTAGATTATCAAAACTTGTTTCTTTGGTACCATTCTTGGGAAAGTAAAAAGAAGTTGCCCTTTCTCATTTTCAATCAATCCTCTAATTATTAATGAAAACTACCCAATACTTTCCAGCTACTTACTTACTCTGTCCACCTTCAGATTTTTCATTTTTATTCCGAGTTAGAGGGATTTCTCAAATTGGATTTTATTAGCAGAAAGTGCATCTGTTCTCCATTTGGTACAATTCTAAAGGTTACATTATTAAATTTTATGTGATCTGAAGAAAATTGCCATATAAATGTCTGACAATTGTGTAAAGGTAAAATCTATATTCTTGGCAGGTATTCTACAAGTCACTCTGACCCTTAAAAATGAAAGTTCTTGGATCTCACTGTAACACTTGCATATTGCAGATGAACAGGAAATTTCTTACTCATCCATTTGTTCAACATAATGTGTAATGTATAATTCAAGATATATTATAGGAGCAGAGGGTGTGCCTCAGAGAAGTGAAATGAATCAATGATCATGAGCTTTGTATTACTCAATCTCATTATAAGAAATGACTGACTCAACATTAATTACTCTTAATATCCCGAAGATGGTACTAATAAGGTGACAATTTCTACATATAATTTTCAGTTAATATTTTTAAGTTCTTCAGGATTTTACAGGTGAAGAAGTTAAAACATTTAATGTTGTCAGTGTTTCCCATGGTGTATACTAACAATGCAAAATGAGGTGGAGAACCGAAGCAGGTCTCTGGGTGACTCAGACTGCGGACTGAAGGGTCCTGGTTCCATTCTGGTCAAGGGCACATGCCCGGGTTGCGGGCTCCATCCCCAGTGGGGGGTGTGCAGGAGACAGTCAGTCAACGATTTTTCTCATAGTTGATGTTTCTATCTCTCTCTACCTCTCCCTTCCTATCTGAAATCAATAAAAATATTTTTTCTTTAAAGAAAGGACACAAGGAAGGCAGGGTGGCGTACTCTGATTGCCTCACCCTGGAGCTGTAGAGACAGGAGGAAGGAGGAAGGCTCATAGGCTAGCTGAGGGTAATGCTGAGGGCAGAGATGGGGTCTCGCCCTGCTTCCAGTTAGGGTTCCAAAAGAAGGCTGCCTTCAGGCCATCCCCACACTAATGAGGTGGCAGGATGCCATGTCAGAGAAAAATATGGCAACCCAGCGTACTTAGACAGAGAGGGAAGTTTGAAACCAGGTCCCCAAACTTGGCTTCTGCACTTAGGTGGTATAGATGGGACCCAAAAGTGCTGATCCCAAGGGTAAGAAGGTGAAAGCACGTGAACTGAGACCCAGTGAGTTTGTCAAAGGGCCACTGTAGCAAATCCTTCCCCGCTCTGGTGAAGGGTGAGACGATTCATAATCCACTCACTAGGCCAGTGGCCATGTAGAGAATAGGGCAGAAACTCAGAGGGGACCATCGTGTGCAAGGTAATGCCAAGTCAGTCAAGGAGAACCGCTGGGCTGGATCAAGCTAAGTGCAAGGGCCAGCAGTTACGCAGTGCAGACCTCAGCCATGAATTCCGGCAGCGTGACTGGCCACCTGGCAGACAAGAGACATTGCCACAGAAAACAGAGAAGCCAGAGCACAGAATAAGGACACCATCCCCCCAAAGCCACAAGGTCACATAACCACATCCCTCCACATGAAATCTAAAAGGCCAAGCATCTTACCTTACATATTTACCTAAAGAGGTTGTTTAAATTTTTGTAACTGATCAAATTTTACACGGAATGGACTGAAGTCAGCTTTTTCCTGGTCATCCAGCAGGTGGGGCCTTGATGAGACTAGATCCCTTCTAGACAGTAAAGTGTTATTTCTCTTTCTAGCTTTATTGACATACTAGAGGCCCGGTGCACAAAAATTTGTGCACTCGGGGGGGTGGGGAAGGGGGTCCCCCAGCCCGGCCTGTGCCCTCTCGCAGTCTGGGACCCCTCGGGAGATAACAACCTGCTGGCTTAGGCCTGCTCCCGGGTGGCAGAGGGCACGGCCAATCCCTAGGTGCAGCCCCTGGTCAGGCTCAGAGCAGGGCCGATTGGGGAGTTGGGGCGCCGCCCCGTCATGCACAGAGCAGGGCGGATTGGGAGGTTGCGATGCCACCCTCAGTCATGCTCAGGGTAGGGCCGATTGGGGGGTTGGGGCACCGCCCCCTGTCACACTCAAGGCAGGGTAGATGGGGAGGTTGCGGCGCCACCCCCTGTCACGCACAGAGCAGGGCCGATCAGGGGGTTGGGGCGCTGCCCCTTGTCAGTCACAGAGCAGGGCCGATCAGGGTGTTGGGGCGCTGCCCCCTGTCAGTCACAGAGCAGGGCCCATCAGGGGGGTTGGGGCTCCGTACCCTGTCACACACAGAGCAGGGTCAATCAGGGGGTTGGGGAGCTCCCCCCTG